TCTCTACGAACTTGGTGAGTGGCGCGGACCTGCAGGATGTGGGGGTTCACCAGTTCACTCCTGCGAGTCAGCGGGTGACCCACTGCACGGAGGCACGCACAGGTCGACACCTGGCCACGTTCTCGCATCGGCCGGGGTCGAGTCTCTACACCCTGACCGTTGAGTCTCCTCCTGTCCCTGCGTCTGGTCAGGTGGCTGCGTCAGGTCAGGTGCTTGCTGCTGCGTCCCGGTCAGGTCCTGAGTCTGCCCCCTGTTCTTGTCGCCTCCTGTCTCACGAGACTCTCCTGTGGCACCACCGTCTTGGCCATCCCTCCTTGCCCCGTCTTCGGAGCATGGCTTCCCGTGTCCTTGTCTCTGGTCTTCCCCAGTCTCTCCCTCCTCTCCCCTCCGGGCCAGGACCTTCCTGTGTCCCCTGTGTCGAGGGTCGCCTCCGGGCTACTCCTCACTCCTCCCACTTCCCCCCGACAGAGGCTCCCCTGCAGACGCTTCACATGGATGTGTGGGGCCCAGCCCCCGTCCGTGGGCAGGGTCACGAGCGCTACTTCCTGTTGGTGGTTGACGACTACTCGCGTTACACCACAGTCCTCCCCTTGCGCAGCAAGGGTGCGGTCACTGAGGTGCTGATCGACTGGATCCGCGAGGCTCGTCTCCAACTCAGGAAGAGCTTCGGCTCGGACTTTCCTGTTCTGCGTCTGCACTCGGACAGAGGCGGAGAGTTCTCTTCTCGCCTTCTGCAAGACTACTTTCGTGCACGGGGGATCCGCCAGACCTTCACGCTTCCGGACTCACCACAGCAAAATGGGATTGCTGAGCGCCGCATTGGCATGGTCATGGATGTCGCTCGTACGTCCATGATGCATGCGGCTGCCCCCCATTTTCTGTGGCCGTTTGCGGTGAGGTACGCGGCGCATCAGCTCAACCTTCACCCCCGGGTCTCTCGGCCTGCGATGTCCCCAGCCTTGCTGTGGACGGGGAAGGTTGGCGATGCGTCTGTGTTCCGTGTCTGGGGATCTCGGGCGTTTGTCCGCGACTTGTCTGCGGACAAGCTGTCCCCTCGTGCTGCTCCCTGTGTCTTCCTTGGCTTCCCCACTGACGCCCCAGGGTGGCAGTTTTACCACCCCTCCTCTCGTCGTGTTCTGTCCTCCCAGGACGTCACGTTCGACGAGTCAGTCCCCTTCTACCGTCTCTTCCCCTACCGCACTCCTTCCCTCCCCCCTCCCCCGGACTTCCTTGTGCCGGTTCCCCCCCCGGTAGACCCCCTCCCCCCTCAGGTTCCTGCCCCCTCAGGTGTGTCCCAGGTAGACGCCGTTGACCCGGTCGGGGTTACTGGTGACTCTGGTGCTGCTGCGGGTGCTGAGCCTGGGGGTGCTGACTCTGGGGGTGCTGTGCGCGGGGGTGCTGAGCCTGGGGGTGCTGGGCCTGAGGGTGCTACTGCGGAGGGTGCGGAGCCTGGGGGTGCTGAGCCGGGGGGTGCTGTGCAATAAATGGCACATATTTCGGCTATGGCGGGAAGGTGTCGTCTACGTGTAATCCCTGGCGGTCTGCACTAATGCTTTAGGAAGCACAAACGCACCATCCGGAAGCGGTCCATCTCGGAGGAATTCGCGACGCACCAAAAGCGCATCACCGACTGCCTAAAGGCTGTAGAAATCCGGCGAGAACTAGTCATCGCGCTGCTTGAAATATGCATATCGGACGCACCGATAGAGATATGGGTCCAAATCGTTTGGCACCTCGCACAACGCCAAACGCTTGTGTGTTCCCCAATAACGCATTCGATGCTTATTACACAGTTGAGCTCTTCATCAACAATCAATATAGTACTCGATTTTGATTCTACGCTCGTATATTTACACCATCATTGACCGTTCTGTGCATTTATGTCCTTTTCCATAGCAGATTGTTAGTACAGCAAAGCATATTCGTGCCCGGCAGGACGTCTGGTTGTAGTCGAGTCCATTTGTTGGACTTATCTGTGACGAGAGTACGTATTAAGTGCATGGCAAACACAATTATATGTTTGCCACGTTTATCCATGACTCATGTGTAGTCACTGAGTTCATCGGGCTACTTACGGTAGGGAAATGTGATGCTGCATCATTGCTTGCACGCTTGCTGACCCCCCTTGCTCACCCGTACCGATTTGAGTAGGGTGGACGGGATTAGCACGGATGACGCCGGGGTGATGATGGTGGCTCGGTTGCATCTACGAATCCTACGCTCTCCTAACATTGCATTACACACTTGTGGGTTTGTTCCTTGCTGTAACGTTGAATGTGCTTGACATTTCCGTACGTTTAACAGTATCTTATGTTCAACCCATCTCAATGTGACGCAGAGAGGATTTGGCAGCCAGAGACGCCGCCACTTCAGTCTTGGAGCTAAGCCTCGTCTACAGCTTGTTTGTTGACGGGAATTGGGTGTTGGCCCTGCCCTTGCTTGGGCGACATCGACTCCATGGTCGGGTCCGCGGGAGCTGCGGCCAACTATTATACAGAGGTCGACACCAGTCTGGGTCGACGAGGTGGTCGACCTGCGGGTGACCACTGCGATGCCGCCATCGACGCGGGCCGGCTGCCTACTTCTACCGAGGAGGTCAACGAAGGTGGTCGTCGACCTGCGTGAGTTTGTTGAGGGGCCGTCGAAGATGGGAGGTCGACGTCAGCAGCTGACCGAGCTGGTCGACGAGGTTCTGCGGGGGCTCGGGAACGTCATCGAGGCCAATGTGGCGAAGGCGACCTCGAGCTGGTACCCCGAGGCCGACGTGGCTATTCAGACGCAATCATCGGCACATGGCCAACTTGGCACCTGCGCGACGGTGCACAACGTGCTCGACCGTCGCTGCGCACCTGCGAAGTGGGTGCGCACATGCGCTACTATCACATGTGGGTGCAGCGTCGGCAGACCGCTTTGCTGAAACGTTGGCAAGCCTCCTTGGTGTAGCATTGGCAAGCCGCCGACTTGCTCCGTCGGCAAAATTGTTGTGTCGGGGGGCGAAATTGCTGCGTCATAGGGGCAAATTTTACTGTGACAAGCGAATTTGTTGTGATTGGTCAAGCGATCAACTTTCGTTGGCGTGGTGCTCACCAAAAGCAAACCCACAACTTCAGTATTAACTGTAGTGCTGAAAACACTAAAACAAAATATGCCATACGAAAAAGATCCGGGTGTTTTTTTTTTACCTTTGTTCAGACCCCCCCTCATTTTTTATAGGGATCTATCATAAGATCATAGGGTCTCCGAGGGAACACGGTAGTTCAATGGTTGAATGTCATTATACGTTTGGTGCCTGTCCTTCTCGCCGTCATTGTGATCCTGCTGGAGTACGACAAAGACATGTACAACATTGAAAATTCTTTGAAGTTCAATATATGGCCTTACATGCTCAGCCTCTTCAACACATGAACCTGGAAATCCAGAAACGTGAGGTGAGTTGCCACTGCAAACATTTGAACTCGTATACACTGTTGTACCATCATACCATGTTACATAGCATGTTGACATAACTTCAGATTAGGCGTTGTTGCGTCGCACTATCATTGACCTTTGTGACCAGTAATTTGAGTGCGGTAAAGACTTTGGTGGCGGCCAACATGATGAAGGGGATACATAACAGGAGAATGGAGGAGCTAAGACATAGACCAATGAGTGCAAAAAGGAATGAGAAAATGTTAGAGGACGCTAGCGGGGCAGATTTGGAACTTGGCAGCAGCAGCAGCAGTGGGTTTAACAGTTTTGATGATGAGGACTGGGTAGTATACTACTTCTGGACAATGGTGCTATACTAAACCATTATGTGCATGTATGTGTGCGTGCGCGCAGTGCTTGTGTTGTGTAGTTGCTAGATGAGTAAATAGTTAGGCCTAGAAGCAGTAAACAAAGCAGGTCCTTTATTGTTTTTTGCCATGAGAGTCCAGGAAGAAGTTTGGCATATGCCTACAGGATGGCCTAGAAATTTGCCCTGAAAAATCAAGGCATTTTCCTACAGTCCGCTAATTGCGGGTAGTTCGAACAGGGTGGGACCGACGAGGTTTAACACGAAATATCTGACGAGGCAAAACACGAATTGAGATCTGACGACGAGTCGAAACACGCCATTTCAATGGCGTGTCCGTCCGTCTGCCTGGAGCACCCCAAACTCGTCCGGGGTTGCAACTTTTTGCTTTCAACTTTAGGAGGATTTAGAGGGCGCCCCACGCGCTGGCGAACATTTTGGTCCTTGCTTTCGAAAAGTGTGGCGGGGTTCGCTCATGCGTTACATCACTTCGCTTTCGCCTGAAACAGGCAAATGGCCTTCGTCATTACAATGTTCCACGCCCAGACCTTATTGAGTGTCATGTTTCTATCACAGCCCAATTCCACCACTACTCACCTACAGAAGGACAAGTCAAGGGCTTATAGGACACTCGTGACACAGAGGATGCAAGCGAACTCGCTTCACAATGGGGTCGAACGTTGAGAACGTGAGAACCACGTCGGAAGTGCAACTTTGATTTACACCCTAAATACAGCATTTCTTCCCTGGTAGAGACAGCTCAGCCTCCCAAGTTCTGGCCCAAAACAAATCGACATCCCCAGGAGCTCCTTACCGAAGCTGATGATGCATGCGTTGACCTGCATTGAGTAAATCAGCTACAAATTTGGGGGGAGCTTTCCCCTTTGACTTTCCACTGCGCTTCACGTCTGGAAACTCAGAGCATGGCGCGACTCGGCAGCATGGCTACCAGGGTTATTCACAGGGCTAGGAGACGAGACTTTGCCCTACCAGCGCGTCACCTGGTTGTATGCCACATGCTACATCTGTTGCTGGCAGCCAGACTGAAGCCTTCCGCTTCTACTTTGCGTAGAGCCTGCCTCCAAAGTGGAAGTAGTGGTACAAGTACCAGCATTTTCTCTCCGATGTGCCATTGCATGATTGCACTGCGCGATTGTGAAGTTTCCGTGACGCTCGCAGAAGTTCTGGCATTGAACGCAAACCCCTCTCCCAGTGGGCTGCTACCATGGATTTTGCGTGCCGTGGCGTCTCCCCGCGTCTGCTCGTGTCGCTCCTGCTCCTCTCCCTCAGCGTCTTGCGGATCCACGCGCGCCACCGTGGCGGCCCCGAGATATCCGTTGCGGACGCTCAGTCTGGCAGGCTCACCAAGGATGCCGCAAATTCTCATCGGCAGTTCGACTCGCAGTCACACCAGGTACTTGTTGTAGGGCCCAGCCAATGCTAGTACTAACTTCGCTGGGAGGCAGCACGACGCGGGCGCTAGTAAGATGTCCATTTGCGAGTCACATGGTGGCTCACATCCTGGGACGCCGCATGTGGCGGCACTAGATGATCACAAGCGGCGCGAGGAGTTCTAGCACTACACACAGCGTTGTGAGAACAAACTGTTTTTTCAACTTGTTTACAGGCTTTTGTAGTACCGTCCGGACTTTCAACAACTCTGACGCATCCTCCCGTTTTCTGTGCGTATGCCACCTTTCTCTCCCTCTCCCTCCCCCCCTCCCTTCTCTACCCCCCTCTCCCCTCGCTCTCACGGCGAGTCATCGCAGGTCGGAACGTCCGAATGGCGCCAGGATGTTCCATACGCCAGCAGCGCCAGCAGCGGCAGCGGAGGGGGGCCGGTCAGCACGATGGGCGCCGGAAGCGACGGCGAGGAGTCGATTGCGGAATGGAAGTGGCGATCGGCGGAAGGGGGCGTGCACTTCTTCCCCCTGCAGCGCGCGGAAGACGCCCCCAGCAGGGACGAGCTGCACCGCCGGATTCTCGCGCCCAGAGTGAGCGGGGGAGGGGCCGCCGCAAGCAGGGCGTTGCTGCTTGACCTTTCAACCACGAAATGCTTGAGACGTCTCAAGGCATTCTAGTAACAAGATTGCTCGCTCATGACGCGTCACGTCACGTAACTCAGAGTTTGAGCTATGATTAGCCTCTGCCCCTTAGCCGCAGCCGAACTGTGTGTCTTCTGGGGTTGAGATTGCACCCACGTGAGTCTCCTCATGGCTTGCTTCTTCCTTCCCTCTCACAATCCCGTGGCATGCGCAGGGCGTGGGGGGCGGCTTGAGGGCCAAAGGAGAGGGTGGCGGGTCATCAGATGTGAGTCAGCATTCTTATACCTTGTTGTATCTTGCCGCGTAGCGGACCTTCCACCTGCCTGCGGCTAGTCCGCCTCGTTGCTTGCGTGCAGACAACGGGGAAATTTTCTTTTGCTGTTGTTGCCACCTCGGGAATCCGTCGCTCACATGGGCTGTCTGTCCCACGTACCTGCTTGCTGCATGCTTGCGTGCATCCCTGCTTGCGTGCATCCCTGCTTGTGCGCATCCCTGCTTGCGCGCAGTCGGCGGGGTATTATCTGCCGCTGATGGACTACAACAGCACGCTGGTCTCAACAGCCAACGGCACAATGGGCAACACCATGGTCAACTACAGCACCTTCGCCGGCGGCAACGACAAGATCCGCCTCCCGTATGTGGCAACGTCGTGTCGTCGTGCAGTTATGAGTGAAGCTACGTGCAGTTATGAGACGTCTCAAAGCTTCGCTTTCTACGCGTGCATCCACCTCCCGTATGCGCCAATGTCGTGTCGTGTCGTGTCGTGTCGTGTCGTGTCGTGTCGTGTCGTGTCGTGTCGTGTTGTGTTGTGTTGTGTCGTGTCGTGTTGTGTCGTGTCGTGTCGTGTCGTGTCGTGTTGTGTCGTGCAGTCATGGGTGAAATGCCTCTCGCTCGCTCACTGCATCACCCTCGCTGGGTGCCGCTCACATACTCTCAAAACACACTCTCTCACAACGCCGCAGCAACTCTCTCACACCCCTCTCGGTCAACCATCGTCCCACAATAGGCGCACGGTCCCATCCCATCCCATGCTCCCACCTCTCACCAAACCCCACTTCCATCTCCCTCCTTCCGTAACCTCCCCTTTCTCCTCTTTCTCCCCTTTCTCCCCTTTCTCCCCTTTCTCCCCTTTCTCCTCTTTCTCCCCTTTCTCCCCTTTCTCCCCTTCTCCCCTTTCTCCCCTTTCTCCCCTTTCTCCCCTTTCTCCCCTTCTCCCCTTTCTCCCCTTTCTCCCCCCACCCCTCCTTCCTCCCATCACCATCGGGCACATCTCCCCCCACCAGCGTGTATCCGTACTACCTGACGCTCAAGCTGGGGTCGCAGAAGCAGGAGTTCAGCATGGCGCTCAACCTGTTCCTGCCGCACACCTTCGTGCCCTGCGACTGCCTGCACTGCGGCTCCATGCGCAAGGGGGTGCGTGGGGTTCCGCCCTCCGCTCATTCCTCCCGCGCGGGGGAATGAGGAGTCCGAATGAGAGTGAGGAGAGTGAATGAGTGAGAATGTGAGAGTGTGAGGGCTTAAGAGGGTGACTGAGTGGAAGTTCGATTAAGCTGGTCCCTTGTCCATGAGTGTCATTCCGTGGATGCTCCTCTTGTCTTTTTGTTCGCTTGCTTTTATCTTTCTCTGCGGTGCGGTGCGGGTTGTGATCGAGTCTGAGCCATGACTCCGTTCCTCGTCCTCACCCCTTTTACTTCCTCCTTCCCCTTTTTGTTTCTTTTCCTCTGTCCTCATCTCACCCCCTGTTCTGGCTGATGGATTCCTTATGACCTGCTGAAGATGAATGTTTCTGCCTTTAGCTCTCTCTCCCATTGCCCTTTCACTCGTTCTGTGAATCCACTCGTTCACACATGTGAATCCACTCGTTTTTCACATGTGAATCCACTCGTTCACACATGTGAATCCACTCGTTTTTCACATGTGAATCCACTCGTTCACACATGTGAATCCACTCGTTTTTCACATGTGAATCCACTCGTTCACACATGTGAATCCACTCGTTCACACATGTGAATCCACTCGTTCACACATATGAATCCACTCGTTTTTCACATGTGAATCCACTCGTTCACACATGTGAATCCACTCGTTTTTCACATGTGAATCCACTCGTTCACACATGTGAATCCACTCGTTCACACATGTGAATCCACTCGTTCACACATGTGAATCCACTCATTCTGCATTTCTGTTTCCGCTACAATAGCACATAAATCTAGCCTCACTCTTTCTCCTCTCCCGTCCCCACCCATCACCCCATCCCCTTCCCCACCCACGCCACAACACTTCTGCCCCTCTCCCTCCCTCTGCACACTGACTACAGCAAGCCACCCATTTCGAGCCTCACGTTCCCCTCCTTCCTATCCCTTTCTCTCTCCTTCGCCCTCTCCCTCTCCCTACCCCCTTCCCTCTCCCTCGCCCACTTCGTCTCCCTCTTTCTCTCCCTCGCCGCGCAGACCACCTACAGCAAGCCCTTCAGCACGCTCTCTTCCTCGACCCTTGAGTACATCTCCTGCACCGACCACCGCTGCCAGAAGGGCGTTGAATCCGGCTACTATGGCTGCAACACGCAAGGCCTCCCCAACTACCTCAACTTCACGGGCGTGCTGCCTGGGGACGACGCTCTCTGCGTGTACAGTGCGAACGCAGGAAACTACGACTACTATGAAGCGGACTGGGAAGCTGTTGAGAACGGAACAGGATCGTACCTTGAGTCAGTGGGGCATGTGGTGCAGGACACGGTCTACCTCACTGCACCTGATGGTACCGAAGTCAACCGCTCCATCATTCTTGGGTGAGTCTCTCCTGTCATTGCCCGTCCTCTCTCCCGTGCTTCCTCCCTCAACATCGCTATCCAACTACACGATATCTCAAATGCTCACTTCTTCCTTCATGCTCTCCCTCACACTCCTCTCTGCTGCCCCTCCTTGCCTGCCCAGCTGTGGAGTGAACCAGATGGGCCACTGGGGCATGCAGGGGTGGCAGTACGGCTCGTGGTCAGCAGGAGGCGTGCTGGGGCTGGGGTGGTCCAGCCCCTTTCTTGAGCAGCTCACCTCTGCCTATACCCCAAGCTCCTTTGCGGTGTGCTTGGAGGAGCCAACGCCGACGAACAAGACGGGGTGGGATGGCCAGGTGCCACTGCAGACAGGCAGAAGCCATCTCGTCATTGGTGCTTTCGGCCTCACTAAAGGCGCCGCCAACTACACCTACATGTAATCCCCCTCGTGAACATGGAATTCCCCTGCACACATCCATCCATCCATCCATCCATCCATCCATCCATCCATCCATCCATCCATCCATCCATCCATCCATCCATCCATCCATCCATCCATCCATCCATCCATCCATCCATCCATCCATCCATCCATCCATCCATCCATCCATCCATCCATCCATCCATCCATCCACCCACCCATGCATCCACCCATCCCCCAATCAACCCATCCAGAGATATAATGGCCGGTATGCAGTACAGCCACATCACACTCACCACGGCCACGCGCGCCCTCAACATCACAGACGACCCGTCCGTCGTGCCGGCGGGCTTCCCTCAGAACGCCACTCCAGGCTTCTTCTTCATGCCCGAGTCCTTCGTGCATCTCCTGCGCTACCCTCTCTTTCTCAGCCTTTGCGACGGGGTATGTTCCTCACCTCGCCTCGCCCTGTGCCTGGCTGGTTGTCTGAGAACCCGACTGACTCGATTTCATGAAAGCCGGGCCAAGTGGAACCAGTGATTGGAGCTGGCATGATTCTCACTGCTTTTGTTTACGTCCTGCTAAGCATCAACAAAGCAAAGGAGGTCGGCAACTGGACTTGGTCGTTACTGCGCCGGGAGATTGTTGAAGCGAGGTTGAAGCGTCCCCTCATTCTCCTAATGTGCCGGTTCCTTTTGTTCGCATCCTCTTCTTCTTGTTGCACCCGCTTGCGCATCCGCATGTGCATGTGCATGTGAACGTTTGCAGATCCGAGACATGACTGGGCATGACCTTTGTAGAGAGACGAAGACTGTGAATTATTTGGGGATTCCATGCTTCAAGTGAGTTTTTTAGCTGAGCTTGGTTCCCTTCCCCCAACCAACCCCAAGTGTCACCTCCGTCCGTCCGTGCACAACGTCGCTGCTCCCTCCCTGCTCCCCCTCAAACGACCCTTGATTGTCCTGCACGCGAATGGAACCTTGAGGATATGCTACGAGCGCCTGACTGCAAGGTGAGCCGTACTGATTCAGCCTCGTTGGCAGCCTCACATCGAGTATTTTCTTCACTGCGTTTGGTAGCTTTTTATCAAAGCTGGGCCACCTGCTATAAAACTGGCATTGATCCTCAGATCGGAGAAAGGTGTCTCCACATTTTTAGCATACATAAGTGCCAAGAACAGTACATCACCTGCTGCAACCAATCCCAAAGCACGTCAGGTGGGTTTAGCCAACAGCAGGTTGCATTGCCAGAAAGGAAAGAAGGCGACATGATTTATTCGGTTCTGACATGCCTTTTGGTCTGTGAACCATCAAGCCACCTGGGAGCCTGTCAGAGGGAGAGGAGGTGGTGGGCGTGGGCATGGAACAACAAATTGGTACCCAAGTCGTGTGGGGCCTGCTCTATCTGCTCTCGTTGTAACAGTGGAGTGACCCCCTGTGCGTCCCTGTGCACCCTAATTCTATAAACTCTGGTCAGCGCATGCTGGAGCTAGCTTGGTTGCATCGCATCGACTCGGGGTCAGTGCTCTGCTCAGGTGCTCTTCCGCTCAGGTGCTCTTCCGCTCAGGTGCTCTTCCGCTCAGGTGCTCTTCCGCTCAGGTGCTCTTCCGCTCAGGTGCTCTTCCACGTGACTTTTGAGCCGACTCAAAAGTCACACGGGGTCAGTGGTGCTCTGCTCAGGTGCTCTTCCTCGTGGGCTGCTGTTGTCAATAAATCAGAATCACGGGCTGCTTTACCCTCTTACAACAACCATGCTCACTTTGCAGGAACAACAACACGGCGGTGGATCCGTTCACCACCTTCCCCACCATCGACATTGCTTTCCCCTTTATTATGAACACCAGTCGCACCGCCCACTTCTATCTCAAGCCTCACCAGTACCTCGCTCAGGTGAACACGGCCATTTCTCCTTGCATTTCTCCCCTCTCTCCCCTCCTCTCTCCTCTCCTCTCTCCTCCTCTTCCCTCCCTCTCTCCTGGTTTCGCCCCTCTCATCTCCCCCCTCCTCATTTCCCCCCCACTCCCATCTCTCCTCCCTTCATCTATTCCCCCTCATCTCGACTCGCTTCCACGTTGGGGGGTCATTCCCGTTCCCTTGCTCACCATGCTGCACTCGACCATGCCATCCTTAACCCCAGTCGCGCTGTCAGAGAGCTGGATGAGCCCCCTGAGATTCTGACTTGCTCGCTCAATGACTTGCTCAATTGATGCCGCTTGGCTGAATGAAACTTCCCCACGCCACTTGTCAACTCACTTCTCTATGGTATGCTGCCCTGCCCCCACAGGTTTCACCTTCCGAGTACTGCATGTTGGTCAACCCTCTTAATCCTGGAAGCAACTACAACAGCTTCATTGGAGGTAAGAGGATTACCTAGCACACGGTTCCACGGCTTTCTCCCGGTGAGCTTCTGCCAGCACCCTTCCTTGTCCCCACCGACCTGCTGCTGTGCCGTGCCGTGCTGCCCATCCTCTGCCATCATGCCAACCACCATTCAATTCTCACAGCACACCTACCAGCCGCCTGCGGCCTACAAGTCGATACAAGCTTGTTCAGATGGGCAAGCATGGATCGTTGCTCTTACATCATCTTTCAGGAATTTTCAGAAGTAATCCTGCCAGGTGGTTATTGGACCAAGCACTCGTCGGCTCCTCTGTATGTGCCTAACTCCAACCTGAAGCCCACAAGCATGGCCGGATTAGCCATGGAATCATCGCTGCCCCTTTCCCTCTCTGCCTCTTGATGCCTCATGGTTACACCATTGCCCCTTTGCGCCTGCTCTTCCCACATCCCTGCTGCCAACACCACTCCCTTTTCGCACTTCCCTCTTCTTCTGTCGGTGCATGTGGTGCCGCGGCCACTGAGCAGAGCCGGGGCTGCTCGGCAGGTACCTCCTCCTGGACTACACCAATCAGTATGCAGGATGGATGTATTCCCCTCACTGTAAGCTGCTGCTCACCCTGCCTGCATCGCCTGCCTGCCCTTCACATAATGATCAAAACAGCTTGCTGCGGACGTTTTCTGTCCTCCACCTGTAACTGCTGCCGCCGTGGTCATTCAAGCAGGCAAATCTTTCACTTGCTGCAAGAAATATTGCATTTCCACCACAGAAGCACAAAAGTGCTTCTGTCCGGTCTGCCACATCACACCCAAGACCTCTGGAGAGCATTCTTTCCCTTCCAGACTCTGCCACCGCTGCCGTTGTCATTTCTGCCCACTTTTTATCCTCTTCTGTGGTTTGATCCTTGCTCTAATTCCCCAATTCTGACACGATTCCCCTTTCTTTCCCTCCCCTCCCCTCCCTCCATCCCTTTTCCTCTCCTCTCCACCCCTCTCCTCCCTCCTCCTTTCATCTCCTCTCCTCACCTCTCCTCTCCTCTCCTCACCTCTCCTCTCCTCTCCTCTCCTCTCCTCTCTTCTCCTCTCCTCTCCTCTCCTCTCCTCTCCCTTCCCCTTCATCCCAACAGGTGGAGCTGAGCCTCTGCAGCTGCCACCTCCCCCTCCTCCACCACCCTTGCCTGTTTCCAATGGGGCCACCCATTCCCTGTCCCCTCTGCCCGCGGCACTCTCATCTGCCCTTGTCCTTGCCACCTCCGCCGCCCTGCTTGCTCTCACTCTCCTGTAGAGCCAGACTTCCACCCTGTAGCATTTTGTGAGATATTCCAGCGAGCAGCAGCGTAGGAGAAAGTTTTAGCAAAGAAGAGACAGTTGGTAGAGAAAATTAGCTATCTGGCATAGGGTTTTGTAAAACTGGAGCTCTTCATTAAAACCGAAATATAGAGTAGTGAACCCCGTCCCAGCTTGAAAGGATCTTCCCGGGTGGGTTTGCAAAGCACTGTTTCAAACATTTCGTGTGTGTAGATCGAACCCATTTGATTGGCTCCCGCCAAAAACGAAATTTCTAGGCCTTACACAAGGAGTCGCATTCAACATGATGCACCCGCACGACGGCTGTACGGCGATCATTGCGATCGTTGGGCCCAACTCCAACTTCAAGCTGGACCTGGGTTCCACTACTTCTTTCCACTCTAGTCTCTAGTTTAGCCAAGCTTAGAATAGCTGAAAACGTAGGCATTTTTGCCTAGGCAACTACCATATTTAGAAAGCTTGCTTTTTTTTCATGTAGCAATGGCATCGTCTCATTTCAAATGGGTTTAGTACAATTTGAAATCCAAGCAGCCTATCAGACTAATGTGCTAACACATTTCAAGGGGTGGGTGGGTGTCGGCGAACCTTCCTCCTCTCAGCCGCCGCTCTTCTTCATGCACCTCCTCTTACCATGCACCTGCTCTTCTTTCTGCACCTGTTCTTCTCGTGCCGACTCTCCAGTTTCCTCCTTCTCCCTTTTGCACAGCCTCACTTACCCACTGAAAGAGCCTGATCCCTCACCCCGTAGGTTCCCTATTAGTGTCGTGCTGTCGTGTGCTAGAGCCTGAGACAATCAGTTTCACTAGTGCAAGGGAATATTAGCGAGAAAGCATCGATGGGTTGGAGGTGAGTGACCTTACCCCACCCCTGGCTGCACATTTCCAAAATGTGCGGCTCGGGGTTGGGGTTCATTGGTTTCACATTTCGCCTTTCGGATTCTTTCCCCCTTTTTATCTCAACCGCTCTTATCCTGTTTCCCCCCTTCTACACCCGCGCTCCTAACATTAACTTTACTACCTCCTACACCTATTACCTATATTCTTATTCCTATCTCATCTTCCTATGGACTTAGGATGAAACCCACACTCCACCATCATTCTACTGTTATTGCATATGCATTAAGTGCATATGCGGTGACAGCTGTCGGCGAACCTTCCTCCTCTCAGCCGCCGCTCTTCTTCATGCACCTCCTCTTACCATGCACCTGCTCTTCTTCCTGCACGTGTTCTTCTCGTGCCGACTCTCCAGTTTCCTCCTTCTCCCTTTTGCACAGCCTCACTTACCCACTGCCCCCTCCTGTGCTCGTGCTCTAGCTGCCTGAGCCCGAGTCACAGGACCTGCTTGGTGAGGCTTGCTCCCCCTCACCATGGCCGTATTGCTCTGGTGCTCCTTCAGGAGTGCCCCTGTGTCATTTTCCAGAACCAACACCCCTAAGGGACGGACCTCCTTCACCCTCCACCTCTCCGTGCCCACCCCAACATCCAGCGTGTCTTGCTTTGCCCGCTTCAAGTACACTTCCTGCCCCTGACTCACTCCCTTCCTGGGTCTGTCCCCCGCCCCTTGCTGTCGCCTCTGCTCATATCTCCGAGCATCCCGCAGCTGTGCGGTGTGGAGATTCTCCAATGCTGCTGGCATCATCACTCGTAGGTATCTTGCCCTGGCCTCGGATAGCGCCACCCAGTTCTCTATCGTCCCTGCAGTCACTGTGTCTGTAAGGACCCGGGTTGCTCCCACCGGCAGCAGCGGCTCACACCCATATAGGAGACCATAAGGGGAGTGATCTCTCAGCGCTGCCTGCTTCCCAAATCTGTACCCTGCTGCTATCCAATGCAGCTCCTCGTCCCAGTCCCGCTTCCTCTTTTCCCCGTACGCTCGCAGTCCCCGCTTCAAGGTCTGGACCAGTCGCTCAGTCAGCCCATCGCTCTGTGGGTGGTACCGCGAAGTGCGCCTGTGGGTGATCCCGGTCTCCTCCAGCAGCCCCTTAAACTCCCCTTGGAACTCTGTCCCTTGATCTGTTAGGACCTCTGCACATGCCCCGAACCTGCACAACACTTGTTCCTTGAACGCTGCTGCCACGTGTCTGGAGCTCTTTCTCGGGATCGCTCTTACCTCCAGCCACTTGCTCACATGTTCGACCATGAGCACTATGTACTGCTTCCCCCCACGGCTCAGTGGCAGCTCCCCCGCCAGGTCTAAGGACCATCGGAAGCCGAGGCCTCGGATGGGTAGCGACTGCAACTCCGCCTTGGCTTGGGTGAGGTTTGCCCTGCTCCTTTGGCATGCCTCACAGCCCTCCACCCACCCCTTTACTTGCCTCCGCATCCCCTCCCACCACCACCCTGTCTTCAACAGCTACACTGTCCTTTCGTGCCCAAAGTGCCCTAGCTTGTTGTGGACCTCCTTAATCACCGCTCCCCTCTCACTTGGAGCCGGCACCAGTTTCCATCCGTCCTCTGTCTGCACCTGCAACTGCTGCTGGTACCACCGGTAGTGCTGGCCCCTTGCCCTTACTCGTGCCGGTAGCGCTTCATCCTCTCCCGTCTCTCCCTTTACCCATCGCAGGGCCGGCCCGTCCTCCCATATGTCTGCTGGCCCCTTCCCCTCCTTGGCCCCGTTCTGCTCCACCAATCTGGCCAGCAGTGTCAAGGTTACGGTGGGCTCAAGCGGTGGGGGGTTCCGTGAGAGGCCATCTACGTGTTGCAGTGTCTTTCCTGGCCTATGCCTGATCTTGAAGTCATACTCCTGTAGCTTCATCGCCCATCTTGCATTCCTGCCCGTCAGTCCTGGGGTTGACATCAGCCACGTCAGGGGCTGGTGGTCAGTTACTAAGGTGAATTCCCTCCCCTGCAGGTACACCCTGAAATGCCCTACTGCCCATACGGCTGCCAACCCTTCTCCGATGTAGGAGCTGTACTGTGCCTCTGCCGAGTTGCAGCTCCTGCTCGCATATGCCACTACCTTCTCCTCTCTTTCTACCTCCTGGCAGAGGATCCCTCCCATCCCTTGGCTGCTCCAATCGGTGTAGAGCGTGAACGGCTGATCAGCGGCGGGCAGCTTGAGCACCGTCGCGGTCTTCACTGCTGCCATCAGGTCCTGCAGCGCCCCTTTCTGTGCTTCCCCCCACTCCCACGCCTGGTCCTCCCGCAACAGCACATTCAACACTGCTGCTCGCTTGCTGAAGTTGGGCACAAACCGCCTGTAGTAGCTCAAGAAGCCCAGCACTGCTCTCAGCCCTGACTTGTCCCTCGGCTCCCTCAGTCTGTCCAGGACTTCCACCTTGGCCTGTTGGATCCCTATCTGTCCCCCTTTCACCTCATACCCTAGGTACTGCACCGTCTGTTCCCCCCATCTGCACTTCTTCGGATGGCAGGTGAGTCCCGCCTCTTCAACCGCCGCTAGGGTCCGCTCAACATCCTGCAGGTGCTGCTGCTCTGTGGTGCTGAAGATCACCACGTCATCAATGTAGCAGGCTGCGCACTCCACTCCCCGCAGCACGCTGTCCATGACCCTCTGGAATACTGCTGATGCGTTCCTCAGTCCAAACGGCATGTACAACCACTCGTACAGCCCGTCCGGCCCATGAAAGGCCGTCTTCCTAACGTCCTCCTCTCTGATTTTGATCTGGTTGAACCCCTGCCGCAGGTCCAGCGTAGTGAAGAACACCCCCTCTGCCAGTTTGTCAAAGATTTCCTCTGCCATCGGCATCGGGTACCTGTCTGCCACGGTGATTTTGTTGAGTGCCCTGTAGTCTCCACACATCCTCCTGCTCAGCACCTCCCCTGTCAGGTCTCTCCTGGCTGCCACCACTGTGGGTGTGGCATACTCAGACTCCGATCTCCTAATCAGTCCTGCTTCCAGCAGCTCCTTGATCTTCTCCTTGCAGATCTCCTCATCCCCCGGCGGCATCTTCCTCCTGCGCTGGAACACTGGTTCTGTGCTGCTCAGCTTCAGCTCCATCTCCTTCACCTTGCACCTTCCCAGTTCCTGCATGGTGAAGGCAAAGCACTTCCTGTGCCTGGCGAGCAGCTCCTGCATGGCCTCCTTTCCCGCCTTGCTCATCGCTTCCCCCACCACCCAGCTCCCCTCCTCCTTCTCTTGGCAGCTCCATGCACCTCGTGGCTCCGCCTCCATCCTTCCTCTCTCTTCCGCCTGCCCCCAGCTCACGACCGTCTCCCGCCACATCCGCTGAATCAGCCACCTCATCACGTGGCCATCCATTGTATTCCCCAGAGCCCTCCTCCTGTCCGCTTCACTTGCCCCAGGCGCTGCTGTTGCATCTTCCTCGTATCCCATAGCCAGCTCCCGCTCCAGTGCCGTGGGCTCCTCCCATCTCCCCTTTTTGTGGTCATACACCATTCCTGGCCCCGGCTTCCCTGCTTCCCACGTGTACCCTGCTGCCCCGACATACGCCACCAGCGTGGGCAGGGCCCTCCTCTCCTGCCCCACTTGGTTGCACTGCTCGTGCCTGCTGTAGCTCTTGTGACACACTGGTGCTGGGGTCCGCCCTGGTTCCAGGATGTCCTTCACCTTCCTTTCTGCTGCTCGCCTTACCCCCTCCATCTCTGCCTGCAGTTGCTCGGCAGGGACCACATTCTGCCAGTACATTCTGAGCCTGTGCGCGTAGGACCCCATTCTGGCCGCATCACAGCTCACCCCTTCTCCCAGTTGTCCCCTGATCCTGTCCCTCACCAGTCGGATTGGCTCTCTGCTATCCCCCTCCAGGTCCAGGTTCTCCAGCAAGTATGCCACCCTGCCCTGCCTCTCCTGCAGCCACTCCATGATTCGAAACAGATCCTCCAGCAGCCCCGTCCTATGATCTTCTCCTCCCTTGCCCCGGCCTGCCCACGACACCCCTTGGCATTCCCACCCTGCCACCAGCAGATCCACCTGCCCCCAGCTCGCTACTTCGGCCTCGCCTATGTCTTTCACATCGTGAATCGTCCCCCCCATCGCCTTGCTGATCACCTCCTCACTCAG